ATGTTTCTGGTAGTTAAATGTCGGGAATTCAGACTCCTTTTCTGGCATCACCTGGTTTTGATTCAGTATTCATTGTTTCAGGTTCATTTTGCTCACACTCTGTCCAGTGCTGGAGAGGTTAAAATCACCTTTGGAAACAGATAGCTGTACTATTCTTGAACACCTTTTCTTTAAAAGACCTTTTATCTCCAGAATTCAAAATAACTATAAGTAATTTAGAACACTGTACATGAACATGTGCACGCACATATTTATGCATACACCAAAATGACCTGGCAAGTTTGTATTAGCATTTCAAAGAGATACAATGCCTCATCCTGCTGACTAGAAAGAGAATAAATTGTGATATACCTAGATTCTCCTTCTTTTGCTATACTCATATTTCTCAACAGCCATGTCATACTTGTAGAAGTTTCATTTCGCCAGCTTGATGCTTGCACTGTTATCGGTAAACGTGGTATAATTCTGTTCCAACTGTACTCGCACAGAATTTCCACCTACTGCTATGCCTGCTGACCTCCTAGCTATCTGATTCCAACTAAATTGTCAGCCCTGGGTTTGGCCCGTATTTCCCTGTATCCTCTCATTTGAAAACAAATACACATGTAAAAAACCTCCCCATGCAGACTTTTCTGAAAAGACACTTTTCCCCACAGCTGAAGTCAGCCAGCACCTGCCCAGGTGCAGGAATCCCTCCCTTGTGCATATCTGATTGCAACACTGAAGTGCATGCTTTAATTGTGCTGGAATTGTTACAAGGATGTCAAACTTTTTCTACTCAAATATCTCTTTAATTAGGCCAACTTCTGGGGAATCTTCATTTTGCTTCCTTTTTGGGGAAGGCCTATCTGCAGAGACAGAACTGTCGCCAGACGTGACCAGAGCCACCGTACGATACTGCATTATCTTACCACAAGATCTGTACTGATGTCAGAAAACAGTCATTTAATTTTAACAGTATTGGTTCAACTTTCTTATAAAACAGTCATCAATTAACTATCAGCTTGTACAGAACATGAAAAGTGAGGCATAAGTGCAAGATTTTAATGAAGTGACAAAGCTCTAAACTGGCTCCTTACATGATTACTTAATGTGTCCTACATTGTCTGGTATGTGATTTTGTCCATTGGACTTATTATTTCTAATTTAACAGGTCATTACAGCTTTAGTGTAATTGTGGGAATAAAAGCACATAAAATACAAGAATTTCAAAATAAATTTTACAGCTCACATTTATGCAACAACTCACTGCATTTATAAATTACTACAGTGCAAATTAGCATAAACAAGCACACATGCCATGGGGAGCTTGCATTGCGATAGTAGCTGGATTTGACATGCAGAACTCCTGTCCTGCATGGCCCTCACCATTGAGGCCACTCATTGCTCCTTCCCACGTGCAAGTTGTGAAAAACAGCAGTAAAGATCAGGCTCCAGCACCGCAACCTTTGGCAACAGATGCTTTCTCTTCACACTGCTGGCTGATACCTCCAGAGCCCAAATTCTACTGAAGAAAAGCCAGGCTCAAGATGCCACCTAATAGCCTGGGCTGTGCTTCATATGCCTCTGCTCACCTATTTCCATTTGATTCAGATAGCACGGACAGAGCCTGAGCTCACTACGGGATTAAGCATGCTCAAGGTAACTTCCCTCCTGGGAAGCTCTGGCAGGTACCAGCAAAATGGGGCATCCTGGCTGAACCATGTAGACAGCATCTCGGATAACAGGGGACCACAATGTCATGTTGGTGACAAGGTGGCACTCATCACACAAGGGTGTATGAGCACAACTGTGGACTGCTTTACACCTGATTTAAGACTCTGCATCTCCTAGCACTTGCAAGACCCAGCCTGGAGTACTGTCCAGGCTGGGATGACACACTTCAAATACAGCAGATCAAGTAAGACAAATAAGACTTGGGAAGAACCCAGAGAAAGGCAGACAGAATAATCAGAAGTACAACAAACACAAGCTATGAGAAGAGACTGAACGAACTCAGACTGTTAAACCTAAGGAGAGATGGTAGCCTGAGAGGGGACGGTAGAACCCAAACATCTTGGAGGCTACTGCAGTGAAATGGTCAATGACCATGTCTACACGGATGACCAGGAGAAGTAACAGGATCAAACAGCTGCAAAAATAACTGGAAAGAGATGTTACGAGAAATCTCTTTTTAAGGACAGGCACAAATTGCCTGGAGGCGCTGGAGAATCTCCATCACTAAAGCACAGGAAAAGAAGTTATCTTACAGGAATGATACATCTAGAGTTGATCATGCATTGGGAAAGGGAGTAGGAGGCCTCTCAAAGCCTCTCCTGGTCTATCTTCTCTGTCTTTAGGTAGTGCCCTAGTACAGTGCACTTCCAGCTTCTGCTTTATAGAGTTCCAGATGTAGCTAAAACTACGAGGAGGACTGGATTACAGTTTAACTCTGCATTGATTTTCCTGTGAAACAGTGAGGTTATACAAAAGGCCAGATGCTCAGACTACGTAATTCAATTTAACTTCAGTCCCTTGAAAATGGATTAATTCAATGAAATTGGGCTAAATTACACCAGATGGGAATCTTGCTCCGAATTTATGCCACCGATCATATTTCATCCTCTTCTTTTAACTGACAAGGAACATCAGTCTTAGGTCAGAGCCTTATCTTAGGTCACACTCTTAATTCTCATGCACTTAAGCTTCCATCTTCAAACAACAGAACTCAGAAACTTCTGTTTGCCATCATGAAAATTCTTAAAAACAAATGGTCTCCATTTCTGTGGTCTCCAGTACTAGGACACATACTTGTCAATAATTTTGCCCATCCCATGGCTTTCATCTTTGACATATTCAACCACAATTGAGTATTTGCTTTCCTCTGACGCCTCCAGCTGAGACTCAGTGTAGAGCTTGCTTAAAGAAGAAAAAACCCCAAATGGACTGTGACATGTCAAAGAGATGATGAACTCTAAAATGCTGTAATACAGTGTCAAACACTGCTCTGTCATCTTTGATAAATTCTGGATTTCCCCAGTTTACCAGGAAAGGAAGCATGGATGGGCATGAAGAACCCAATTTTTTCCTGGTTCTGCAATGTCCATGGCATTCAAAACGCTATCACTGCTAACCCCAAGAAAAAAGAACATCTAGAAATCACTGAAACCACAGTGGTGTAAACAAGGGCTGTATGAGCCACTCAACACCAGTGTAAAAAAAACAGCAAAGTTGTATATGAATTCTATCCAAGACCTGTTAGCAAGGGAAACACATTGGTACTTTGGAAATTCCCATGCTGCATCAAAATGCAGCACTCCATACAAAGATATTCAAAACTTTAGATGCTTCTAGTAAAGTTACAGCTATTACTGAAAACCCCATGCTTGCCCAAGCCACTGTTTATTGTGTGAAGTACATCTATGTTCATACAAGTCAGCATGAGAGAAGCTAAATCCTGAAAACAGAAGTGGGGAGAAGCATACAGAAGAGACGTGCAAGCTGGCTAGCCAGGCTTAGCTTAGCAATCTGGGGCAGTGCCAACATTCACATCACATCTGGACTGATCCTGCGCAGAACACATGCCTCTGGTGCCTCTGTACCACCCACCACTGCAGGGGATGATGTGCTACTTTCTAAGAGATGCCCAGCCAAAAAATTAAACATTAGCTGACATAGGTATTAAATTTAATATCAGCCTAAAAACTAGGCTTGCCTGAATCACAGCATCTGATGCTCAGAATCAGGTTTGCTGGCACAGTCCTGGTCTCAGTGGATTGGTCAGCAGAGATTGAACCCAGCTGTCTTCAAAATGTCAGGTGTGATGTTCACATACAACATAAACTGCTGCAATATAAACAAGCCCTAACATTGCACATCTCTTAAAAGCAGTGTTGGACCAGTTACATACTTGTTTTATCTGAGCAGATGTCAGCATCTGCTTTAAGTAGAGAGAACTGAAACATTTGTGTTCCTTCCCCAGCCCCCACCCTACTCAAAAGTGAGGAAGAACACCAAGTGTCAGATTTTTCAGTGGCATTTTATACCAGAGCAGAAAGACAGATGTTTTGATGATTATTTTTTTTCCCCCTACAATCTGGGCAGCCAGTTTCTTTGCTAAGCTGTTCGCCCTTACTATTAAAATTGATTTGCACAACAGTACATTGCAGCCAAAGAAAGCACGGCAGTCATTAAAGAGTAGGCTGCTCACACATGTTTCTGTACTCAGCCAATTCAACTACTGATGAATGGGTCATCTTTTGTCAAGCCAACTGTAAGGAACTGGTAAAGAAATAATTTGTGGTTCAGGAACAGCCATGCTGACAGGTAGGCCTTCTCTTGTCCTTTTGCTTTCCAACAGCAGTGTGCTCTGTTAGCTGATCTTCAACAAATCTCTCATTAGAGTAACAGTCACAACGGCTTATCCTGAGAAACTATGGAAATCTTTAGAAAGTAAATGTACAAACACTGAAGCAGTGGCACTGCGAGTTAAATCATATTGAACAATTCAAACATAAGCAAAGAACAATAGTTTAACAAGGGATCGTGTCAGGGTCAGAAATTAAAACTATACTGTGTAATGTGGTAATTCTCAAAATATTGCAGACCACTTCTTAAAAGTCAAGATGCTTCAAATATCACACCTCCCCTATTAGTCCTCTCACTGTCTTCGGCTCCCTTTATTTTGCTCCAGTCAGCTCAACATGCCCTACTTCACTGTTTTCTTGCAGACAATCTTGCACTCAAGGATGCTACTTTTTCTGGGTTAAAAACAAAGCAAAACAAACCACAAAAAAACCCCAAACAAAAACAGAAAAAAACCCCCACAAAAACCCACCACCACAACAACAAAGATCAAAAAAATCAATCTACTTCTCTTTGTGAGATCTCTGAAAGGTCTTGGATGAGGAAACTACATATTATCTTAAAATTATAATAATTACAAAAATCTTGAGTCTTAGTACTTGTTATCACTTTGAGGTCTAGAGAAGACTGCAATAAAAATCATGCCACAAAGTTCTCACACCAGAGCAGCTTCAAGAAGCCCCAGCTAGGTTCAGGATGCATTTTACTGAATAACAAATGAAGAGCTGTAAGGGAGAAACCTTGCCAATAGACAGGGAGTGGCCATATCAGACGAAAATTATATCTGATACATTAGAAATCTGGTGCCAAATTCCCATCTCCATTCATCGTTTCAACAGCCAAAAGAACAAATTACACCCGTGGGAGAAATATTCTCTGTCAGGAACTGCATGGAGATTATATAGCAGCCTATACTGAGCTCTCTTGCAGGCCTTGGCGTAATGTCCTGCCAAGGATAAGCAACGAGGAGTGATGCTCAGCCTTCCTCTAGACCTGGAAGACTGCAGAAGCTGCTCTTCAGCCTTCTCATATTTGGAACTGGAAATATTCTAGCCCTGGAAATATTACTCCAGTGCTTTTAGTACACAGGAATCTGCATTGCTGGAAGCATTCTGCTGAAAGTTGTAAACAGAGAGAAGTTTATGGAGACTTACAACCTAGACAAATGAGGAGGAATGTTCACAGAGAGATTGAGAGATAATGAGCACCAAAGCAAATGTGAAGTTTTATTCCTCAACACAAGGTCTCATCTTCAAAGAAATGCTTTTCAAACACTGGCAAACTGATCTTATGTCCTCAAAGATGACGGAAAAGCGTGGTCCATTTTTACAGGAGTTATCCAAAAAAAAAAAAAAAAAAAAAAGGGGGACAGCGGAGTTAACAGGTAATTGTGAGAAGCACTGCCCTAAATGTTTAGAGTCTGGCATAATTAGAAGCCGAAGAGGAACTAATTATAAAAACTAAACAGACACATCTAACTCTCAAATAAGTATCACTGTCATCTTCCTTCACAATTAATCAAGCACCTGTAAACACAAACTGAGCAAACTTTGAGTTCTCTCTGCAGGTTTACTAAAACTTCCATTCTTCACCTCAAAACAGCCACCCCGATGTGTCACTCATGACCACAGGGGTGAAAGCTGCAGGACCAGGACACTAGACTTCATTTCTAAGTCCAGGAGGCTTGTATTCTCCCTGAGGATGCACAGCCCTGAGAACATCCGAAACCTTATGAGCCACATTTCATTAGAATGCAATTAAAAGAATTATTTGCCTTTTTTTAAAGTCCTGTTTCCAAGAAGTAGACAACCTTGTAAGCAATTCTGCTGGAGAAGAAGTAAAGATGTCTGTTGTTATACAGGTTTTTCCAGAGCTATGACTGCTCAGGAGTTAATTACAGCACACAAACTCTCTACACGTTCCTTTGGATGCACATTTGCTTGTGGAAGAATGGGCTGTGTGTATTGGCACATGAGTACTTCCTCTGTCCTGCCTACACTATATCAGTTCACTAAACAGATTTAATTTGCTGCTTCCTCCAAAGGCATTTACCTTTGGAATTTTGTTTTTAACAATAGAAGTCTCTTGTACATATACACACAGAAAATGACAGCTCTTTAATGATGCTAAGTCAGACAAACGCCCTCTCTGTGAACATAGTGCAGGAAAAATGTCCTCGAGTATCTCAGATACAAAATGCCAATAAATTGAATTTATGTCTCATTTAATCTACAATGGAACAGTTAGTACTTAAAGGGTATGTACACTTCCCGTAGTCCCTTTCTTCCTGAGAAACTTTCAGATGCTGAAAATCAATTCCTTTTGTCTCCTTGTTATTCATCTGCTACACATTAAGGAGAAACTCTGGGCATTCAGTGATCCCACAATGGTCTTTCATCTCCAGAGAAGCCTGGTATGAATTAAAATCTTACGCTCCCTCAAATTATGGATGCATACTGCAGCATGCCACTGATTTATCTGCTCGTGATTTTTGCCAGTTTTCTCAGCATGCTGCAGCTAGCTCATCTGCATCTTTCAACTTAAGTGACTCTTCTACAACGCTGCCCATCCAGCCCATGAAAAGTGCTTTGACACTAGCATACACAAAGAGATGTCCCCACACAACAGGTACTGCTATCTAATCTTTTTTCTAACTCCCTGCCATTTAGAATTTATATTGAAAAGTGGTTTTACTACAGCCAAGATCTTAGTACAAGAACAATAAATACTTCATGAAAGTAATGTTCTTTCATTTCAGTGGCCTTGAGGGATGAAGATTATATGGAAATAACTTTTAACTGATGTCACTTCTTTGTCATGTCTGTTTTTAAGGGCAGTTTTAACTTAGGACGTTGTTTTTCTCTAACGGACGTAAAATTTAATTGCTATCTAGACTGCTGCAACGCTGGTCAAACACACGCTGCTCTTTCTCTCCCAGCTTCCAGCTAGTCGTGCTGCTGGACGTCCCGTACTGCAGCAATTCAAGGCTTCCACTCTCAGGTCTGAAAGTAAATCAAGGCTTAACATACTTATTCTTGTTTTACTCTTTGTTCTCTTTTCAGTCTATTTTTCTTCCTTCCAAACACTGTTTGCCCACTCCTTCACTCTCAAATATTCCTTGCAGCCAAAGCGGCACATTCAAAATAAGGAAACACTTGGAAATCTACATTCACATTCTGTCCTACAGGAATCATCATCTTTTGCTCATCACTTCTACATCCGAAACCTCCCCAGACAAGCTTTTAGCCACCTTGCTCTACAATCTCTTAAATGAATCATTTCTTTGTTTCAATCAGATTTCAGTGTGAAATATTTTCCACTGAGCAATCTTGTTATCTATTCAATATGGCAGTTTGAAGAGCTTTAAAATAAAGCTACTTGAAAGCTAAATTAGAACAGAAATGCGTGCATTGTATGTAACCCTGAACAGCAGTTAAAAGGTGAGAACACAACTCAAGTTCACTAGCTATTTCGGGCTCCGATTACAACACAGCCAAGAAGAATTTGGAGCTCCGCATGTGCCTCACATACGCGTCCAAAGCAACTGGGCAAACAGTTAATAGCGGGCACCGATACTCCCGCGTCACAGGAATAGCTTGTGCCAGATTAAAGCTAGCTCAGTTACACCTCTGGTTTGCAGCCACAGGTGATGCCCGCCCAGCAAAGACCTTACCTCGCTTGAATCCTCCTGCTGATTGATAACAGCTAGTGCATCCTCTGCAGCCTGGCGCTTGGCTTCGGCAACAGTGCGCTCCATCTTGGCTCTCTCTGAAGTGATCATGTCGTGAGCTTTCCGCTCTGCCTCCGACACTGCCTTCTGCAACTCGGCCATCGCCTGACGCTTTACTTCGTTGACAGCTTCCTCTACAAAGGAGGGCAGAAATCCTCGTCAGCACAGGACGTTGGCGCAGGGCGACACAGAACTGATGCACGAAATGCCGCAGATACTCTATGATATTGAGAGTCTTTATATTTTGAGGAGAAGGGCGCAGAGGAACCTGGTTTCTCAAGACTCTTCAAGACCACCCAGGTGCTTCTTTACCGCCCCATCACCAAAGCCTCTAACACTTGCGACAATTCCTGCTATTCTGATTCACACTCAGTACTTCTTTAAGTACAGACATTTCAGATCTCTGGCGCGTTATTTTTGTGACCTTTTTGAACATTTTACTTGGAAAATTGGTTTTGCAGCACACCAGACTTATGAATATGTTTGGCAAGAACTACTATTTAAGATATAATATTACAGACTTTTTAAAAAATGTGTCTTTAAGCTCTGGAAATTAAGACAGGATTTATAGTCATTAACAAATTTTTCCCCCATACGTTAACGAATAAATATATGAAGTTAAAAAAACCCCAAGAGCTTATTTAAAAAACTTAAATCGCTGGTCTAATATCTTTTCCTGGACATATAATTTTACGAGCCAAAATTAAAATTTGTTTATGAACATTCATTTGACCTCTTGATCTCTCCTTCAAACCCATGTTTACACTGTGAAGACTTGACTTCCTGGCTCCGCAGAGCTCTAGAGCACACCACAGCCAGCAAGGTTTCAGTGCACAATTAACACTGAGCAGGGGCACACCGCTTCATTGAATTCAAACCTTCACGCTTCTTGTAAAATAACTAAGTCAGTATCAGCCGTTTCTTCGGTATATGCTACCATCATATCTTTTATTCCGGAAAACATGGATTGTCACAAATTAGTTATTTGGGTTTTGATGCAGGAAGAGTGCAAAGATTTTACTAATGAACAGTCTTTTAATTGACAACTAAAACAAGTAATTTCTTTTTTTTTTTTTTAATTAACTGCTCTAATTAACAAGGAAACCATCCTCCCCCTGAATTAGTTTATCTAATTTTCATCTTTATTCAAAGCAAAATGACAATGATTAATTGAAAATTTAATAAGCAGTAATTATTAACTTGGCAAACCTAGTACCAATTAACACTCTATTAAAACTAATTATGACATGTTTCATTCAAGTGTTTGCACTTAATTGTTTCATCCACTTAAAAACCACCTTAATTAAATGTTCTGTTTAATTAAAAACATAGAATTCTATAGAAATGTTTTCCTGTAGATTAAAATCTAAGTATTACAACTGTGTTACGGGTTTGAGTTTTAGTCCATGTATTTAGCCCATGCATTTGTGTGCATGCACATGTACATAGACCAAACTCTTACATACAGATACTAAGTCAATAACTCTCTTGAGTTATGTCTCATAGCCCTGCACTTGTTATTTAAAAAAAAAGACTACGTGAAGTCTCCATTGTCAGTTATTAAGCAAATTGAAATAAAGACTTAACTTCAAGCCACGTACTGACTAAAATGGAATTAATTAAAATGAAAGAAGAGTTCTATTACTCTGTGTGTGTGTGTGAACGCACGTGCATGTCTGCAAGAGGTGTTTCAACTGAAGTTGGGGGGTGGGGGGAACTCAGAGATAAAACTTATGCCTTTATTTTTATGAGGCTGAAAATATGCCCTTATATTACCCTACCATAAATGTTGTTTAGGGGAAAGCCTCAGGAGAGGAAAAAATCATACCCTTCAACCATACAGCCAAGGCTTAATTTACTTTGAATATTCAAGGTGAATTAAAATTCTATCTAAGTGGCAATACAGGACAATAATTTTTGCTTACGATCAAAGCTGCAGCTAGACTAATTCTATATGCAAATCAGGCAATTTATATTTAAATTATGCATTCCTATTCTAGTCCCACAGGCGCACACAGATCAGCAAAGGGAATTGGTAGGACATTTGCAAGGTGCTTGAATATTTATTACCAACTGCAAACATTCACTGATCGTGAGAAAAGAAATATACACAGGCAAACATACAGATGCAATTTTATTACCATTTTCATAAAAATGAGGCAACTTAAATACAGACGTTTTGTGTCTATGAACTGCAGTTACTAACAAAGTGGATTTCTTTTAAGAAAATCTGTATTCTTGCTGGTATTTGCTACGAATAGAAATTATCTTTGTATGGCATAATGCACTTTCATTACATCATATAAATTTAGTTTTACGTTGAGGTGTTTGCAGTGGTTAGAAATACCAGTTTAAACTATTACATAAAACAAACAAAATACTCCAACATTTTACAGACTTCTAATTTTATAGTTTTTCATCCTACATAATCTACTTCTTTTCAGCCCAAATATTGAAATTGAGCCTTATATTCTAACTTCTATGCTGCGTAAGTTTTTTTGCAAAGCTTCTGAGAGTGTGAAGATGCTAAAAGGCCATATGCCTGACTGATACTCTTTAATTGGCATAAACTATGGATTGGACTTTAGTATTTCCATTAACTGTGACAACAGAATTTGTGTTGTGCTATACTAAGTGTGAAAACAAATAGTTAAAATATGTTGGGGTTTTTGGTCACAATGCACCACCATTATTTCCATTTATCATGAACTCATGAACACCCAAATAAACTAGACAAAATTTTATATCACTGATTTTCTGCACATCTACTCAAAATAAATGTTTTCACTACCTACAGGTATTTTATAGACATAGAATGCAGGCTTCATAGTTTCAGGTAACAATAAAAACTGTAGTATCTGTGCAGGAAAAGTTATGGGTGACAGTGAAGGGAGATTTTATTTGCCTTGACAGCGCTGAGCTATGAAGACCAAGAATGATACCAGCACTCTTCTTTTCTCTGCATTTCCAGAGAAAGGAAGAGTGGTTAGACTCCAATATCAGAAAACATAAATCCAGAAGTTTTTAAAACCAAGTATCTAAGATGCATGTATCTGCATCCTCCATTTTCCCACTAATGCTAAGCATCCTTGGCATAAATTCACTCTATCATTTTAGGAATGCAACTGAAATCTTCCTTCCCTTTGAGCAGCGCTAACTCATGAGAGAAGCTCCAGGGAACAAACAGCCTGTGTGGAATAGGCGTTACTCAGCGTGATCAGAGGTCCTTGGAGCTGACTCAGGAGAGGTACTCAGCTCATTATTCACTGCTGTATAGAACCCAACGTGATGACTGAATCACCAGCCAGCTCCTCGTCACCTCCCTCACATCATGGGCACATTTGGTCCACATGATGAGAAGAGAACGGGGGTGGGCAGGGGTGCAGTCCTGTGCCACCACGACATTTTGCATCATCTCACTCTCAGGCTGACCCTGGCAAAGAAGGCTGTTGGCCATTGGTGACATGAGTTATCTCAGTCGCATACCCCAAAACGCACCACCTCTTTCTCAGGACTACCCTGGAGAACGTGCAGGGGCCTTATTGTCTTTGTGTGAGAAAGTATGGTCATTCCACACCTGCTTGGTAACTCCAGCGCTTCCATCTGGATTGCCATGAACAGTAGGCCTTGCTAGGTGACAGGGGATGGCTGGAAGATGGGTTCCTCGTGACACAGAAAGAAGCTAAGGCAGCAGCCCACTGTGGCCCTGGGATCCCCTCAGTATTTAATAAAGAGAAATAGGTATTTTCAGAGAGCAAGTCACCCAACCTATCATCTGACTGATCCTCTTCACGTGCCTGTCTCTCTCTTGACTACTGAGGGACACCAAGAACGTGGCTTGGACTCTTCAACTCCATATCCACAATTCAATGAGCTGAATCAGGGCACTGATGACTCCTTTCTACTGATGTATGAAAATGAATTGGGCTCACATGGCTTTAATTCACAAGGTGCTGCATACCATGTGCTTGCTCCAACAATCACAAAAGCACGTACTTAACTTGGAATATTTCAAGAATTACGCTGGAGTCTATCAATCTCCAAAAGCTTAAAGTGAATCCCTTTTTCACATGCTTTTGAGGTTGCTTATTTACCATTTTGATGCCAAATTCTTTCAGTTCAATGGATTCAGCATCCCAGTCAGACTTTCATACTTGATTCAGATGTTTACACATTGGTCTTTGTGGACATTTGAGGTACCAAGATACCCACACTGAGCCAGCAGAAATGACTTGTGAGAGATTTGCAGCCTTCTTGACTGGCAGTTGCAGCCCAGCCAGGAAACTATGGACCATCTCAAATGACACTAGAGACCTATTCTTACAGAGCTGAATTGCACCTTTACTGCCTTGAACTGATTATGAAATTGTGGAGACCTCCAACTTTAGTGCACCCTCCTGAAAATGAAGGCCCATGATTTATGAAAAGCAGTATGCTTTCTGATGTTTTACTACTCTTAGTAACAGATACAGGTATGTATCCTGTAGTGAGTCAGGCTTTTTTTATTCTCCAATTCACAGGCATGTTCAGTTAATAAAAGGAATCTGATTTAAACCCACATCAGCATGCAAATAGAGACTGGAAATGGGACCAAAGGAAAAACTTCGTTTCAAAGGAACTGATGACATATACGTTCACAAGATGACATGTCACAGCTCCTGTACACTACCGTTTGTGGAGATAAGCAATGTGAATGCACATTCAATTTTATAATTCAAGCCAAAAGCTTCCATTAACTTGTGTTGCTAGCTCACAAAGAAACTTTTTTTCTTTTATTGTACTGCATCGAGGAGTCATAAATGACCCAATATGCCAAACTACATCAAAACCTAGGTTTTGCAAGAGAAATAAAGTTACTGAAATTCAACTGAATAATGCTTCTCTTACTGAGATTCCCTGGCACCGCGTATTTTTTTCTTATTTGTTATTTAAGATGTTAACATAAATACAGCAAAACAAACTATAAAAATACTTTCGGGCATTGAGTTACAAAGGCTACACTTTCCTCGGACAAAAGAAAAATATGTAGATCATTTTGTTATTTTTCATAGAAAACACAGTAGTTCCAAAAATATTAATTAACATATTGGCAAATGTAGACTTCACATAATAAACCCACATCACACAAAACCCACAACTACTTGTCTGATGCAAAGATATGCCAGCATAACATTTTTACACGAATGCTCTGTATCTAGTTTAAAATACACCAAAAAGCAGCAAGCAGTTACAGGAGACTTGATCAGAAAGCATCAGAACTGCTGCATATTTGCCATTTAATCATTAACTCCTGCTCAGACAGCTGCTGTAGACTTCATGGTTATACAGGTGTTGAAAAGGTGGGGGTGGGGGTGGGGTGTATGAGTGTATATATAGAAGCTCAACTACCTTGCTGGAGTTCAAGAGCTACCTCCTGGCCCCTCTGAAAACAAGGAAGCTCTGGTATCAATGTCAAAAGAGCAAAGGTTTAGCTCCAGCACTGCAATGGGATCCTTGCCAGGAAACTCCTGTGCTCAGGCAGAGCTTCAAAGTGCTGAAGAAAACTCTGCACAACCACAACGTCTGCCCATGGTGCTTTCCAAGCTCGAGGAAGATGCTGTCAATACCCATGCAACCACCCAGAGCAGCTGCAGAGATGCAATCTTGCTTACTTCATTGAAAATTTTGTGGGTTTATGAACACAGACTTCACTGGGGGCTGACAGGCACAAAATCTTTTTAAAATTAAGAATGGTTACATTGCATAGCTGAAGGTTTTTCTTTAACACGTATACTTAGGGTTTTGCCCCTCCTTTGGGAATTCTTACCTTAAATAGGTAAGAACCTTAAAAAAAAAAAATCCCCACACAAACTTTTTTTTTAAAATTGCTACCAGACTGAAACTTTAGCATATCAAGTTTCAGTCTGAAACCATTATAACCCCTGAAAATAGGGGTCCTTAATGGAAGTGCTGATATCCTCCTAACTGTAGCAGCAGATGATTCTATTATAAAGATTATTTCATGTCCCAACCAGTTCCAGTTTAAGATTATTAAACACAATTTCTTCTTGTTACTAGTAAGCCCTTTTTTTCCCTTTTCCCCCCCCCCCCCCGCCATTCCTCACATCAGTGCATTAACAACTGCACACAGCTGCCAGAAGACTAAGCTGGTGTTTTTAAACAGTCTTACCAGCTTTCTTCCAGATCTCCTCTGGCACGTATCCAGATGCAGGCCTGTGAAGGAATTCCCGATGCGATTCTGCAGGAGGAGGGGGTGCGGAGGGAGAAAGAAAGAGCATCATAAGCAATGCTTGCTTGTTGAGAACAAGACTTAGAGAAATACCTCTTCCCTTTACTTATTGCTCAGACAAAAAAATCACATTAAGTTTTTCTTTACTCAAACTAAAACGGATGCTATGGCCATCGCTCAAAAACGTCACAGACCAGATCAATGTTTAGGACTCAAATGTCTCATCTTAAGCCAAGCTGAAACTAGTTTGCTTTATTTTTATTTTACAGCATTTCAAGTCAACTCTATATGACAGTTTCCATGCTTTTAAGGCTGGCTTTGCAAGACCAACTGAGGGAGTGACGTGCTTCATCCTTTGTCATTATGTTTATGAAAAGGAAAAAGAAAGAGGGCAACAGTCCGGGTTTGGCACTTCTGCTCTGTGAAAGCAGAATGGCTACTGATGAGCGGAGATAAAAGCCAACATGTCATTCCAGTGATCAAATAAGCTGTCCACAGAAAAAGAAAGGGGTGTTTCTCTATGTTCAGAGCTACACTTTCCTGTATCTGAGCCCATGTTGGTAACTGCAGCTGCACGAGTTTGAAAAACAGGACCTTTAACTTTAGGTTAAGCCCCTAAATACATACGCTGCCAAACAACCTCACTGGAGCTGAAGCTCGTAATTCAGCCATATATTTCAATCACATTTTGACAGCTCCCCCCCCCTCCTCTTTTTTACAGGGTTTAACCTCTGGGCCTGAGCCTAAGAGCTCTGAAATCAGCAAGATCCCTTCCACACGGACTTCAAAGACACAAGATCAGACAATACAGAAAGAAAATTCACTTTGGCCTGAAATTTAGCATACAGATTCTCAGCAGATGAAAAGTTGCTCCTTCCAAATACAATTTAAAAACTGATTAACTATTTTTCAAAGTAATAGAGAGGAAATTAAAACAAAACAAAACAAAACACATAAAGGTAACTTCAATGCCATGATTACTATTGCCTGTGTGACAGAATTCAATTGTCAAAATAAAATAACTTGACTTATTACATTAGAGGTAAGCTTTGAATCTTTTTAGAGATGTTGCTAGAAATTAAACATCCCGTTTGATGTCTGAGTTTGAGACATAACAAAAGTACATATGCCATGCTTTGAATACTAATTTTTAGTAAATACATTCATCTTAAAGCTATTATTTGCTAACATGGTCAAAAAGTAGTATTTTTAATAAAAAGGTTGAATCATTAGGTTTTGCAAATCATTTTTTTACACCACCATACATATGCATGCAATACTGTTTATATACAGTAGGCTACAGAAACTTAAATACATGTAAAAGACGACACTCAATATCACAGACAGCTAACAAAGGTGGAAATGACGGGCCATTTCAGCTACCCAGAGAGCAGGGAATCCCAATCCCTGCGCACTGTTTTGCAGATGCAGTTTCTAGCACATGAATCTGCAGACACCGACGGGGTGGACTGAATCTTCCCATCTGACAGGCAGCTGAGTGGATTTCCCCAGCTTCTGTTTGTCACTAAAGTATGGGATGAAAATAAAATGGATTTTTGTAAGCAGAATTTCACACCTCTCGAGCGTAAAATGATGGTGGGGGTGTGTGCAAGATTCTGCAAAACAGCTAACTATTTACATTGGTTTAATTGACTTGATAGAGGACTTCAGACCTGATGCTGAAAATGGGAAAATTTGCAGTTTCACTTGGCTTATATGATTCTGGAGACGACAAGTATCACTATGTACACTTCTCTCATCCCTTGGAGGTTTTTAGACTTATGGGCACAGTGCCAGTTCAGTCAGGGACAGAGGCAGCAGCAGAAAACATTGCTTGAAACCTCAGGAAAAATAAAGGCGAAAAATTAAAACACTCTCATGTGCTCTTCCTGCAATACCTGAAGGAAAAGACCCAACCCGACTCCAAATGTGGCAAAACAAGGGGTTTGTTGCGTTCATGTCTTATACTTTCGAGTTTTCCTGTCTGCTATTTAAGGTACCACCTACTGCAAGGGGATCATAACATTGATTTAAGCCCTTGACTGTGGTACTGAGTATTAAAAATAAAGAGATGTGAAGCTGATTTTTTGGTACACATGACTTTCCAAAAATGGAATTCAATGACATAAATGACCAGATTGCCAGCTAATTGTTAAAATTTCCAAAACATAAACATCAATCAAGCTCTTATTCCAACCACAAATTATTTACATGAGGAATGAGATCCTCTGCAAGAAGAATTAAATCAAGAGCTTGTGAGACTTTCCCATAGTTTGGAATGGTGCACAAAAACAAGACAAGAAGCACTTATGAAGATAATAAAAACCATATTTTCTAAGCAAGAAAAATATTATTAACATGGCTATTGTTTAGTCAGTGGTGATGAGTCCATGCAAATAATCTTCTTTTCGGGGCTAAACTACAGGACATGACCAGAGAATGTAAGTCTTCTATTACTATTGTTTTTAAGGTAAGGTGTCTTTCAGGTTAAGAATCACAGAACTTGCTTACTAAAACTAAAACACATAAGATCTTAACTTGGACATCTAGCAAACTCAAAACAAAAATAACACAATTGAGTGAAGTCCCTAAAATACTAAATGTAAAACCAACTGCAAAAAGCCACAATGAGGAAAATGCGTTGTATTAACTGACTGACTGCAGCACCTAGAAGTCAAAGTAAATTCTGCCTGGAAGAAAACTGAATTAAATCAGACAAAATTAGGAATAACCTGAAGTGACAATGCAGCTCATACAGAAAAGGATAACAGAAAAGGCATTACGTGTCAGACATAATACAAAGGTTTGTTAACGGTGAAATGCAACAATGTTATTATGCAGAACAATGGGATGTACACTACTGAATTTACTTGAAATTCATGGCAAGGGAGGTTTGAAAGCACTTGTTGATAATCAGTCTGGCTCCTACTGAACCAGATGAAAAAGCCCAAAAAGGAAAATAAAAAGCATATATACATGAGAGTAATCAGTACTTGTCTGTGAAGAACTTAAATGAAGTAAAAATACAATAGATTTTGAAATAAAAAATGTTTGGGGAATTTTCTGTTTTCTGATTTTAATGTGAATAAACTTTTCAGCAAGAAAGTTGTTGGACTAGGACATAAGAATACACATGAGGAAAAGACACAAAAATTGGTCTCGGTTTCAGCCCTCACATTGTACTGAACAGCAGGGAACAACATAATGTATTATTTTGTAAAATATATAGAAAAAGTACTATTTTTAGTCTATCCTGGATATATTTTTTTAATAAGAAAGAAAACATTCACCAAAAAAAATCCTCTTGTCACAATATGGTGCTGGGCTCCATATGGGCCCTGGTGTATTTATTTCAAGAACGCATTCAGCCATAAGAATCATTGACAGTTAATTGATCAACCAGGTTTCTGCAGTTTAATGAGTACAAATATCTTGTAGACTGATTATTTTTGGTAGTCTTAAAGAGAATAGGTCCTGAAAGTACTGAAAGAGAGAGACGTGGAGAGTTGTAAGAGCAGAAATAAATATGGGTCTGGGAAGTGAAAATGAGACAAAAAGCTAGGACCAAATAAAGGATATGAACTCTCACATGATAATAAGGACCAAACGCAAGAAAACAGAATAGAAAGACTTAAAAGGAAAAGATGTGTTCAAAACTTTCAAAAAGCCTAATCCATATTTGGAAAGAGAGAACAGAAGATGGGTTGACAATACAAAAGAATGGAGTATCACTGGACAATGACATCCAAGCCTATAACAACAAAATATTAAGAAACGCAGATGAACAGCTGATCTCTTGAGGATCTTTTAGAATTTTTTGTATTTATGAAAATACTGGCAGTGACAACAATATCCTATACGCCATAGTGAACATTAGGGCTCAAAAATAATAAAAGCTGCATATAACCAGCCCTGAATTATGGATTATTTCATATATGAAATATATATGCTTTTGTATGTATTTATATGCTTTTCATATGTCATATACAAGTTTTGCTTCATTCTACCCTATAATAAATGTAACACCATTGGTGGGACACAGACAACAAACAGAAAACTTCTCAGAGCAACAAATATCACATACATTCACTGCCTTGTTTGTAAAAGTCAAGCTCAAAAGTGTGCCACTCCAATTAATGAAATACATAGATTCAAATCTGAAGAAGTGTAATACTGAATGAGACTACCTTGCTAACCTTGTTGGGGGGGGCATGAGTTTCAAGTATTTTTATGTATATCTTTGCCCTTCTTTGCCCTCTAATACATTTTTGTGGCTATTACAGCACTCCTTGAACACATGTGATATTGCATTAAAAATATAGTTGTCTTCTCATTTAAAAAGAATAAGAAAAGGAAAACTGCACAGGTAGTATATTACCAAATCATCCTCAGCCAAGACCAAGTCAGAACCGAGTACTGAGAATACAAATGTGCAATGTTTCTGCAGCTGTAGCCCTTTCTAACAGCATGCAATTCAGTACACCACAATCCAGCCCAAACCTCCCGTGCAACGAGTGGATTAAGAGCAATACTTAATATCATCAGTGACCAGTATTAACAGGGGCTTTACTTTCTAGAATTACAAGTTATAGATGTTACTGTGGTATTCACAGCATTCCTGTTAGCTCATGTTGAGAATATCGTGCATATCACAGCAATGCTGATTATCTGCAAATGGCAAAGGAAAGATTTTATAATCACAGCATGAATAGACATGTATTGGCAGGAATGCCCTGGCTGGCACTGAAAGGACGAGGGTGAACAACCTTTGATAAAACATAAACTAGCTCTGTGGGGGTTAACATTTAAAAATGTATTAAGAAATGGCTAGCCTATGTGTTTTTGACAAACTCATACACTTCTGAGAATCCTGGCTTCCTGGGGCAAATCCTGCAGGTACTGGCACACTTCAGTTGGAGATTTCAAACTCTATTTTGTAAGATTTCCATTCAGATAAATTCAACAGACACAAAATATCAACATCGCTGCAGACCTGATGTGTGCCTACACCACTTATCTAGAGCCACAGCTGCACTCAATAAGGTTATAGATCTTGTTTATAACCCACGATGCTGAAGAACCCTCATCTTTAATTTATCTGACTGTGTGTATTTCAGTATACAATGTCTGATATGTGTAATTATTCATTATTAGGATGAAAGTTGCAGTCCTGCTGCAGTACGTAGTACTGAAATTCTTCAGCAGAAATGGAGGAGTCTGATGATGTATTATTCACTTCATAGACCATCACAGTTCATCAAGTGAATATATATAAAGCCTGAGTCATTTCTAGACTTTCATAAACATGTATTATTCAGACTGAAAAGAATGGACCCATCTTACCTTCAACACACTCTCAGAGAATAATAAGAGCTTGTAACATGTTGTAGCTGGCTAATGCGTGTATTGGATTACACTGCATTAAAATGAATGATCAAGTATTTAATTTGATTTCTTAATTAAAAATATCAACAGAAAAATATTGATCAGATACTGCAAACTGTCAAGCGCAACGTGATTTACAGGGATGTCAAATTAAAAGAAGCACAAAAATCTTTGGCAGAAAAAGAGGTCTACTGGTTCAAAATGACAACCAGAATTTTCTTCCGTTTCTTTTGGACACAAACTATTGATGCTAAATCTCAGCTCAGAGTTTTTCAGTGAGAGCTATCTATGAAGACCATGGCATAATGTTTATAGTAAGAACTTACCATCTCAGTGATAATATTTTAATCATAAAGAAAAAGAAACAAAGGCATAAACAATGTAGCCATATAGCCTCCTTTTTTTTCCTCTTGCTAGTGGAGATGACAAGATGGATATAAAGGGTGGATTACCTCGTTTAATAAAAAAAAAAAAAAGGACAAAGGGGAATCACTGACATTTAGAATCCCTGCAGCAAAAAACCAATATTTACATGTTGTGGCACTTTAATTAAAATATTGGAGGATTTTTTTCAGCCCCTTCCTCCTCACTTCAAACCTAAAATAAAAAGCCCTAAACAAAAAAGCTTCTCAAAGCTCACAGACACTGCTTCAATTTTTATTATACCTCTGAATGTTAGGAGTTTTCATTTTGTTAACTAGATTACTACAAGATTTGAGGAAACATAAGGATTACCTTTCTATAGACTCTGAAGTAAATATTTTCTGCCTTAATGAGACATAAAAGCACTTCTTATCAATATTTAAGATTGACGTGGATGCTACATCACTGAAGTGATCCAAGTTTCATGTCCATGAGTCTCGGAAGTAGTTTTTAAAGACAAATAACCAAAATGGACGTGTTAAAATTGAAATGGACTCACTCCAACCAGTTCAGTTCTACCCATAGTACTGCAGAGGTGACTGGTGTGTCCAATGTCAAAGCCTATGCCATATAATGTCTAAGTGTCTTTTTAAGCAAGCAGACTTTGCCGTTCCCAAGAATTCACCTTGACAAATACACAAACAAAATGATAATATAGGGATCTAATTGTATGTTTGATCTTCATTTTATCTTCTGTTGCTCTTGTTGTGACTATTTTTCATGGATTGTACTATTATCTAGAAAGTTTTGATGAATGTCAAGTTCCAGTTTCTTTGGGGAACTTACAAAAACTCAGTTTCCTTTTGGTTTTTTTTACCTACTAACTATACTTACAAGCACCATGGCCTGGCTCTTTTTGCATCTTAGCTTTACTAGAGAAGGGTGCCACTGCCTTTGATCTAGGGGCTTCCTCACAAGTGTTCTTCCCGAAGCTGCAGATGTGATCAACGTTTCAGATGCCATGTTTATAAGTCTTTCTTTACATTACACTTAACACTATTTGTACAAGCCATTACCTGAATGCTTCTTTCTGAGAAGGGCTCCTCTAAGGACTAGACTTATTAGTGAAGTTGGGAACAGCATTTCCATAACCCTTCCTTTCACCGACTGAAGCTAATCTATAGAGCTATTGGCCCAGATCATTTGACACACACACAAAAAAGGTTGTTTGTTATCAAGAGGCACTAAATACTACAGTGGTAAGTCTAGACATCTACCAAGAAGAAGATGGAGAAGGCATTAGATATGTTTTTCTGTTTTTCTATTTGCAATTAATTAAGTTTTAGATTTAATAAGTTATTCTTACGGGCAAAAGGAAAACACAACTTTAAATAAAATATAGTTGCAAAGTAACACACACATGCAGTTCTACTAGTGACCACAGTTTATGATGACTGAGTAGATGGCATTTGATCTAGACAATTTATTTTTTTAAATATAAATATTAGACAAGCAATCATAGTTTGCTGTTCTCTTCAAAAGAGTAGAGAACAATAAAAAGGCATCACCAAGATCTGCTTCTTTACCACATCTGCCATAAAAGTGAGGGGATGGGGTAGAAGCAGGCCAACATACTAATAAATTACAGAAAGCCCACAAAATAAAAGCTTGGCTTTATATAGCAGAGTCTTCTTGGAGTAGTTGTGCGAGGTATCATGCGACTGTGACTGTGACGGTCTGCAGGAGGTGGAAGTCCAACTGCTTGGTCTGCTCCTTGTAAGTGGGCTTTGCAGCTTGAGCTGCGCTCTGAGTGGCTCCGTGTAACTACCCAGCAAGCAGTACCCAAACTAGCGCACACACACCTGTGTGAGCTGCAGCAGTGGACGCGGACCTAGGAGGATCATGTGTGCATGGCTGTGGGCATCCCAGATGTTGCTTCTTTCTTATACGGAAACCAAGTACAGCTAAGTAGTGGCCCTATCTTTGTATCTCCCTTCATTTCCTTAGAAAGACAATTTCCAAGTTAAGTCATTGGATTTGAGAAGGTGAAAGCCCTTGTTTTCACAGTGCTAACAATCCAGAAGCACCTACAGATTTCCTTAATCAAGCAGGCAAGGGAGGGAGACGCAAGGGACGGAGAGTCAGTGCATATCTCACTGCTCTGCCATCCCTACATGACAGTCTATCCGCCCGTCCCACCACTCTCAGACGTTGCTGAATGGAAAGCAAATCACCAAGCATCACCCAAAACCCCAAACTATTCCACATGTAAACATGACTATTAGGGCATAAGAGTTATAGTTAATTCAGTAGTCAGAAGAGAGGAATATTTCATCGCTATCATGGAAGAAGAATCAGAAGAGCAAATACAAACTTCATCTAGCATTTGGCTGAGCTGAAAGAGGACTGGTAAACAATTTTTAATGAGGATACTGTACCTAATGTAACTGGATCTGGATTCACTGGACTCTGCTGTCTGGAATGACTACTGCTGCTGTTACCGCCTTTTTTTAAATCTTCTGCATCACTGTACCGCCGTATCCAGTAATTAAGCTCCTCACGGTCTGCTTCTTGACATCGCCGTAGTACAGTGAGAGATCGCCTAGTTTTTTCCACCATGTCCATTATACAGTTTAACAGCTATTCACAGTGGTGGATGGAGAAGAGAAACAAAAAAGAGCATTTTATTCATAAACTGACAGAAAAAAAGAAAAGAAAGCATTAATGTGCTGAGTGCCTGGGTTTTAATAATGAAGGAGTCTCTCCCTGTATTTTCAAATACAGCTGAAAAATTCTAGTCTTCTTTTAAGAATGACAATCCCTTCCTGTTTAACTGGTGATCCTAAACTGTACAGTTACAGATTTCTGGGGGATACAGCGAAGACAAGGAGGAAAAGACTGAACAGTGTAGTCCCACCACTAGTATCACATGGCACCACAGAGACCAGGAGATCTGGTCCAGAGCTGATGCCTACAAATGTTGTAAGAGCTAATAAATTCAAAGAACAAATCCAATGTGTCCCAGATCCAGAGTTTATAGAATCAAGTCCATTCCTCTTTTGGCAGCCTGTAATAATTAGGATACTGCAAGAGGCACTTAACAGCAAAGCCTGGTATGAGCTACCTAACAGGGAATGTTAAGCCCTCTGATTTAATCACCAACGCTTTCTAAACTTGTCCTGGGATTCAGATTTGTTTTAAAAGAAAAATTTGAAATTCCTATCTTAGAAGGGCTCCTTTCAGACAATTATATACGTAAGAGTACATTTAGCCCTTACATGGTCAAGGTGTTTCCACTCTTCTGCCCATTCTCTGTCTGTTAGCCTGTGATCAATCATTTCTTCTTGACGTGTGCCATGCAACCCTGCCAAAAAGGAGCAAATCATCTTTACAATGTTGGGAATCCTCTGGTGGTGGGGAAGGGGAGAAAAAAGAGCCTATCAGACAAATATATCATCATACATTACCTGGTCTAGTATCAGGAATGCCACCACAAAATTAAAGGCTGCTTAAAAACTTTGCTCTAAGTTCTCTTTAGCACTTTTCCCCACACAAGATGCTACTGTTTTACTCAATTTAATGTCTTCAATTCTGCAAGTTCTGTAGATTGCAAGATGATCTCTCAAAAATGGACATAACCCTTTCTGACTATATACAATTATATAACATATAATACAATGTATATTTTTTCGTTTGCACTACTTGAAGAAGTCAGCAAGACAATTATTTGGTAACTCAGTGTATCGAATACTAGCTGTACTTCAGAGAGTTGAAAAAATATTAGTATAAACTCAATGTTATTTCACTAAATGCAGTAATTACTACGATGTCAACAGAGCATCATTAAGGGTTCATCCCTTCACAGATGTTTAAACAACATGTGGTTAAAATGTAGCACATATATCAGAGCAGCTGACAACATGATACAACCAAGCCAGTATTTATTATCAACACTCAAGAGGAACTGACACTTGCTCTGTTTAGCCTCCTCTATACAGATGCTGAATATTTGTAAATGTTCCTCTTTTATTGAAGATTTGTTTAAAACAAGGTAGAATAGTAAATGCAGATGTGAAGCAAGCCAGGCAAATCCAAGAGCATCAGACACCCCATTAAACCAAAATGTGGTGTGCGAGGTGTGGCTGGTGCTTCTGCTGTTTGCACCCTCTGCAGACATCCCCATGCTGCACCGCACCCTTGGGATGTCACACACGAAAACGCTTCTCCAAAGACTAATAGCTTTCCTCTAGTCTAAGCTGAAATTAAGCTATATGGATGTTGTTATCCTCACAAATGTGGCATTAGAAGAAAAATAAAAGGCTCTACCTATCCTTGCCCGCCAGACACCTGAGTGTCCATGTCATCTACGCAGCTGTGAAAGCACGGGTTCCTCCTCCTTCTGACTCTCTTGCTTTAGAGTGTAGTAAAGACACAATTCAATCCACTTTTACAAATATGAATCTGAAATAAGGCCATTAGAAGCAGCTAGATGGACAAACAGTTATAAAGGCTACATCTGAATGGCAGGTATATTTAAGCAGAACCCCCCCCCCGTTCACAATACAGAATACAATTACAAGGAAAAGAGAAACCTAAAAAAAAAAACAATGCAGAAAATCAACATGCCTTACCCATAGGTCTGTTTCTGTCCCTGAGGTCCCTGTGATTGGGGTGTCTGTATGAGTCCCTGTAGTGGTGGGCAATGGCCATATCATCCAAACGATAATGCTGAGGTGGAGGTGGGGTGGGATGAGGCAGACCATTGGGCTGATAAGATAAGCCATTATTTGGACTGTACCGCTGGCCTGGGCTAATAGTGCAGGGCCGCTTGCTTGGATGCTCTGAGTGCAAAGGCTCTCTGTCAAAGCCATTTTCTTTGGTTCTGAAAAACAAAGCAAAGGAACTTTAACTCACTTAGTGAGCAGAGCTGCTTAGGAACACGCACCCCCACCTACATGTGCAGCTTCAGGAACTAAAGCTTGTTCTTTCACTTTGCTCCAAGTGTCTGGTGTTGCAGAACATTTCATAACACTGCTGATTCAAGATATACAAAGGACACATTCACCTTGTCTAACTGTCCCTGTAACTTGAGAAATACTAGCAGGGTGAGCCTTCTGATGGAGCAGCTTAAAAGAGTTGGGCTGGAGAACGAGCAGCCTTTGCCGAAATCACCGGCTGATGGGATGGATACAGGTGTAATTGCAGAGCTGAAACAATTAACGGATACATGAAGCTAGAGACTGATAAATTCCTACTTTCAGTAGTATTATAGCATACAGTGATTAGGGGAAATTTGCAGTTAAAGAGATGTGGTTTCTTCAAGAGGATAGCATACAGTCTTAAGGCAGTGCGTGTCAGTGTGCTGAAGCTTGGCTATATATATGTCAGGACGAGCTCACATCAAGATCAGTGTCATACTGAGACTTCGGACAAGACTGATGCTAGATGATGAGAAATGCTTCCTTCAAACATTTTTGTACCATCTGGGCTATTTCAGTCGAAGGTCCTGTGACTGTCATTAATTTTACAGGAAGATGTGGTTAGACTCAAGTCCTCAATAATGTTCAAGATTTCCCACTCCATTACTCTTGGGCAGGGGTTTTATGCTCAGGCAACTTTGAAGAGGTATCAGGGAGAAGGGCAGGTTTTTACCTTACAGACACTCATTAATTCAATTCATAATCAGCTGTTTCCAAAGAAGTCTCTACTTTGCACCTCTTCCTGAGAACCCGGAACTCACACTGAACTCATTTTCCATTAAAATAAAAAAGAAACGTCAGAGTTACTTCAACAGGTTCACAACTCCTTTTAGGGAAGCTTTGTTTCACTGGGGGGGGAAGGTGTTACCACTGGAATAAACAAAACCCACAAAATATTAGCTTTGAACAGAAAGGTTACTGTTGAGATTGCATCCCTCCCTCCAAAACCCTTTGTTAAACAGCTGATATATTCCAGCCTTTTTTAAAGAGAACTTTCTCCTCCGTGATTTACGGGTGGTGTAATGTATCTTCCTAGTAATAACACAATTTTTTTTCACTTTGACAGGAAGGTAAATTTGATCTAACTTTCTTGTTTGCCTGCTGTTAAAACCAACTGCCCTTCCACAAACCCTGCCCCACAAACCAACCAACCTTGAGGGACTGTCTGTGGAGAAACACTCAACGTATTAATTGTTGCCCCTCAATAGGTTCTCCTTTAATGTCAATGAGAGGAAGGATGAAACCAAATCTTTGCCAATATCCACTGGGAGAGAGGATCAAAGTAAGATCTTGCAATTACCAGCAGGAAATTAAACTATGGGTTGTACTGTTTACAGGAGTAAAGAGATTTTCCAGAGACCTCACCACAATCACTAATGCCAGAGAAGCTGCAGGTATATATATTTTATTATACCTTAACTTGGCAAAGAGGGGAGAATCTTTCACCAATACAGCAGGACAGCTGTTCTGATTTTGGGCAGACATACTTTGTTAAAGCGGAGTACGTACCTTGTTCCAAAACAAACGCAGAATGGCTGTGAAAACTCCTAATCAGGAAAACCTGAGGGCCATCATATATTTTTAATGACTTTTGGCATTATGGTACTGCTTGCAATAACTCCCAATGGGTAGTGATGCTTTTGACAGCTCTCCAAGACAAGCTTTGTATTTAGTTGCTGGTGTGTATTTTCTTTGCACATATGTACTCAAACTCAGTGTCCAGGTCTTTCAATTGTAAAAATACTATGCAAGCAAAAAATTGACTTTTCCTGCATGTACAAGCCAAGCTATTCATTTGCCAAAGTTCTTTAATATTAAAGCTAGAAGGATCTCTAACTAAGATGGGGGGGAAATGAGAAATTGTAAATAATTAAATAAACACATTTGACTTTTTTTGATCATTAAGTGCAGGAAAAGCAAACCAGAAAACTGTGACAAGTAGGAATCCAGTTTTCCTCTTCTGCACACTAATTAGACATTAAAAGCATATATTTTCATACAAATGTACATATTTGTGCCTTACTGTACAGGTACTTCTGTGGTTTTTTAGGAATGCTTTGTACTTAATTACCTGAACTGGAATGCACTGCATTAGCTTAGACAACACACCAGCATATCCATTTTCTTCTAGAACCCTGAGTTTAACTAACATATAAATTAAAATTACCATTGAAAATACATTTACTGAAATTAAATTCCTATTTTTGCTATTATGCTGGGTAACAGCTGTCAGGTCTTTTCTGGGTGTTAAAACCTTAATTCTACAATTTGTTGTTTTATTTTCCGCACTGACCGAATAAACAACCTAGCAGAATGCCAGCATGAGACTGTACATAAACTGATTTTGTGTTTCTGACCATATAAAATATATAAAGGTAACAACTTCCACAAAGTCTCATCAGAACAGGAATCGCTGGCAAATTTACTATATCTGAATGTACTGAATGCAGTGATAAAAGACAAAGTACTGCAGAGTGACATAATTCAGATGCCCCGAACCAAACCTGCTATTCTGCTTCTGATCTCAGTCCTACTCATTCTTCTAGGTCTCACCCCCTTGGGACAGCAGCATTTCCCCAGGTGCCTGAGGAGGCACTCCTGCTTCACAGTAATTGGCAGACCCATATAAGAACTAGCTCCAAATCCAAAACTGCCACAATTTTCATCTGATTTCATTTGATGTTCATCTGATCCATCTGATTTTCCAAAGCAACAACAAGCTGTAGAGAGGAAATAACACTGAATGCATAGGAAGCCTAACTGACACGTTTTCTTGGTTTTTTCTTTTTCTTGCTCCTGTTGGTCACATTTTTCTTGACACGCCCATAAATCGACACTGTCGTTTGGAAAACTGGCAATATGATAAAGATGGAGTCCTTCAGCTATAAACATGCAAGGGGTCATTTTACTTGGAGCCATGATTTACTCAGATTAAAGACAGCAGAATAGATACTAGTCATTAGTCTGTACTCATTTAACAGACTTTATGTTGTTTGTAAGTTATCATTTCAGTTTTAAATTATTGCAGTTTATGGATCATTTCCTGGGTAGGAAATCTGACCATGCAAAACTGCCTTGGCTGGAAAATTGAGTTTCACCTGATCAAGAGTATTACAACAGTTTCAAAGAACACTGAAGTCAGCTTGGAAGAAGGAAGCAAAGCTGCTGTTCATCTGCTATTTGTGCAAGATGCTTTGATTTAAACTGGACTTCCATCAATAAATTCTTGATGACGAAACAAGTGATAATGCTCTGCTGGAATAAAATACTTATTTTGTTTATAATACTGTGTTACAGAAAAGATGAATATTACCTTGCTAACAGTTCATATTAAGAAAATTCTTTTAAAATGCCTCATAATTACACATGGCTTAGAAGGAACATAGCTGTAAGACCTGTGAGCATCCTTCACCTTACTGGGATGTGGAGGAGCTTCTTCAAATAATAATATTTACCTAACAGAATTATCAAAGTCGGTCTCTGTGCACAGGTACCTTTGACATGAATTCCTTGTCAGGGGTGCCAAGGATATAGCAGCACAGCAGCACGTTCTAAAGTCACAAAACAATCATGGCCACTTTTGTTTTCTTCTCAAAATTAGAGCTATTCTTACAGATTTTTTTGCTATTCTGTATCTACTTTGTAGGCAGTTGTCATAAATGTAGAGTCAATATATGACACACTCATGTGCCATAAAGCACTTCCCAGCAAGCTCAAAGGATGACTGATTACCAAAAAGTCCTTTGTGGTTAACGTATTTAAAATCATGTTATTTATAACTAAGCATTCATTCACCAAAATAAAAACTCATATTGGTCCAGATTCCTTTGCTTTACTACAGTAGAACATAAACTCCAAAAGTTGTAAACAAAATATAGTGAACACTTTGTTCATGACATGTCATGAACAAATTACCAAAATGTGTTGTCTCCTCAGGTGTCAGTTTTTCTCTCTTGCAGTGACTGATGGTTCCCAGTGTTATTACAGAAACAGATTGATCTTTTTAATGAGCTAGTTTAATAGACTCCAAAATCTCACCGTGGCTGCTCATCCGTGTCAGACCATATGCACCAAGAAAACATTCAGTAAAACACGAAGCTCTGCTGTCAGATTGCTCTATAAAACCTCACATACAGTAGACTTGGATATGCAGATAAATAACCAGAATTGGAAAATGCATATGCAAAAAAGGTTCTGAAATTGTAAGCAGAAAAAATTACTGTATGTGGATTTTCTTTAACAAAAAATCACGAGGTGAATGTGGTTATGTGCAACACACATGTTCCACTTCCTTTGCCTAATCCCTTACTGTATTTTACCTCTATTGGAATGAAGGGTATGCAGTTACTCATGCCCAAAAGAAAAATGTAAATATGGAAGAATTTGTTCACATATATTTTTTATATATACGTGTATGTATCATACACACACACCCCTGTATATGAGACATATATATGATATATATATACACATATATATATATTTAAAACATACAAATTATATACAATGCCATGTATGTATCATATCCCTTGGGAAGTGAAAAGGATACCACAATTTACTTTAGTGAGAGACATATCTCTGAACAAAATTATTCCAACTGCATTTAGTTCCCCTGGAAAGATGTTGCCTTTTAGTCTTTTTTTTTCCCCCCATGTTCTGTCAACAGAGTCACAGCAAACCCTCCTCTTAAAGGATGCCTCATACCTTCTGCTGTATTTTTATTAGTATGTTTGAAAACTACTTAGATATCTAAAAAAAAGGTAGGTATATTTCCAGATGTTTCCTCCTGCTCCTCCATAAACAATTAAAATAATTAATAGCATAATGAGTATAAAGCCAGAAAAGTATTTGGTTTCAATACTCACTCAGTCTAGGCATGCCCTGACTCTGAGGACAGTTTTTCATGGTTGATTTACTTACGTTATCCAAATTAAAAGGTATGCAAACTCCCACTCAGTAAATTTAAGAATCTTTCCAACAGGATCTTGTTCTTTGTTTTAAATCTGTAGCTCAAATGTTCCTAAGTGCACGAGACAACTCCACTGAACTTGGTTCAGCCAAAACTACCGTATGTGTTTAATTTTTTTCTGCATAGCTTTAATCATAGTCGATGGAGAAGAAGGTGTGACTAATCAGTGACAGCATTGTTTGATACTGCAAAAAAGAACTTATTTTTTAAGCTCAAGGCACCATTCCAATGGGTGAGCTGGGCAGTCTCTTTCCAGGTCTTTCATGACAGCAAAGAATCTCAGGGTCAAAAAAGAAAGGATGGGTTTTTCGGAAATGCCACTTCCCAAGAACTAAGGAGCCCAATTTCAAGCAGCAGTCGACAGAGGCTGCCAGTTCATAGCTTTGGCACCTTGGAGCGTGCAGGCCAGTGGGACACCCCGCTTCACAGCCCCTCCCTGGACCCTGGGAATTCAAACGCAGGGTCTTACCCACAACGCTGGCAGTGACACTGTCTATCCCTCACCCCAAAAGCTGCATCACTACCTGGAGAGGAACTGAAGACTCCCCGAGCTGGACGGAGCCTAAGAGGGACTTCAGCTGTGAAGCCAAAGGCACTTGCTCATGAGCAGAGACTTCCGAGTTTCAAAAGCACCTATGTGTTTTAACTACAACAAAACTCTCAGAACAAAATCCATAAATCAGACTTAAACCTTTCTAGGTCTATGCCTCAGTTTTAATTAAAAGATGAAGGCTGACTTTAAAATCCAATATTCTTCTGATCTGCCAGTCTCCTTATGGGCTACTCCTACGTCCTTTTTGCTATAAGACTAATACAGGGTCTTTTCATTACTAAGTTCTTGTATCAGTCTTTACCTGCCTGCACCACCCATCCTCTCCCATGGAACCAGGAATGAAGGTACCATAGGTGAGACCATACTTATTACAAAATAACCGAAATTCAACACTGTCAAACTGGGTCTCAAAGAGTGGGAGTATTATTCCAGAATGCTAAGGAAGAAAAACAAAGGAAATATTTTATTGCCCATTTTTCCTTTGTGGCCTTATGGGAGAAGCAAGTAACACTGCTCTCTATTAAGAGAAAAGAAAGTGAGCTAGGGCTGTCAGGAAGGCACATCCCTCTTCTCCTCTGTATTCTCTGTCAAGCAAGATCTCACAGGCTTATGAGATAATTTAATGTGTGTCTACCTACTTGTAGAAAAACACCGTGTCTGCTACTGACACTGGACTACAGCATGCTGATATTTAAGTTATTCACAAGATGCACAAGATTTTAAGAGGCCTTTTTACTAGACGTTTTGGTACACTACTCTGCAAAGACTGAGAGGATATGCAGCAGAACTGCCCCAGGGAGCTAAATTTCAGCTTTGGAAATTTTATCTCTTTGCACAGAGGAAGAGACTACACGGAAAATGTTTGAAAATTAACCATCTTTCTTGGATGCAGTTAGCAGGTTTGTGTTAACACCGATGGGTGTTTCAGTTTGGTCTAGTTGTCAGGGAAAAATGGTGAAAACAGGGTACACAGAAAAGAGCTTCTCTGCTGGTATCTTTATTTTCTTGCTGGTCCATAGTGATTTCCCTGAAACACAATCTAAAGCAAGCTAATTTCAAATACTTTCACATTGTCGTCTATCTAATGGCTATGTTACTTTAATTTTTACTGCTCACTTCTGGCTATGAGAAGCTTAAAATTTTACTATGAGCTTTCAGACTTTGTTTTCTCTTTGGTTTTGTGCTATCTTGGCCTGTCCCTACACAAAAATGTCACCTGTACAAACTTGCAAGCCTTCTTGGCTTTGCAAATCTTCACCTTTTTCATTTAAAAGATAACTAGGACACTTGCCATGCTTTGGGCGTGCAGTTAGTGGCATTTGGCAGAGCAGCATTACAAAATTTTTCCACACTGTAAAATCCATGGCAAACAAAACTAGCAAAAAGCCAGCATGTGGGCCTCCCAAAGGTAAAATGTATATGCTAGCCAAATTTCTAACACTATCATGGGAAGACAGTTAAAAATAAATAACCACAGGAGTCATTGTCTTCTAACACTAGAAAAAGAACTTTATTCAAATAAGAAAAACTGTTCCATATCCCTAAAGCTACTGTACTTCACACACACACAGTCACTTGCCCTGTTTCTGCGTGGACTCTTTCTCAGCTCAGCAACAAAACCGATTTCAGTGAACATTTCTCCTGTTTGGAAGAAATATCCTTATGCACGTTGGCTATACGGATATGGAAACATGGCACAGCAGAAGGAGTCAAAGCCCTGATTGCACTCTGGAGCTTGCCTTGTATTTCCACATATTTACTGTTTAGTCCAACAAAACCTCAAATACAAAGGACTTGCATATGGAGCTGGAGTGATGTGCTGCTCATCACTTTATGCTGCACAGAGATACTATGCACCAAATAGCAGGGTACTGGCTGGCGAGTATTACTTCTATGTGGATATGACCACAGTGTATCCTCGCGTGATTTTGCTGCCTGAATCAGTGTGTGCACAGATTATATTTACATGCACAGAGATACCTCTGTACATGTATATGTAGCTATATATACATTTATGTATGTGTATGTACACATGCATAAGCAGGGCCTGTTGTGATAGGACAAGGGGCGATGGTTTTAAACTGAAAGAGGTTAGATTTAGACTACCAGATATAAGGAAGACATTTTTTTACGATGAGGGTGGTGAGACACTGGAACAGGATGCCCAGAGAGGTGGTAGATGCCCCATCCCTGGAAACATTCAAGGTCAGGCTGGATGGGGCTCTGAGCAACCTGATGTGGTTGAAGATGTCCCAGCTCATTGCAGGGGGGTTGGACTCGATGACCTTTAAAGGTCCCTTCCAACCCAAACTGTTCTATGATTCTACACACACATACACAAAGGTAACCTAGCCGTTGCCCGGCCGTAATGAAGGCAGGACCCGCACCCAGGGAACACCATCGCAGTTCCCCCAGGCCCCCCGCCACCCACCCGCTCCCCCCATCGCTAGTGGCGCTCGGCACATCCGACCGCGGGACACTTCTGAGCGGGGCGAGAACGGCGCGGCGGCGCTCACCTGTCTGGAGTTCGCCTCTTCCCGTTTTCGTTCACATCGAGAAGCAGCTCTGAGGAGTCAACAGGTGAGGTGGTGCTGGCATCCAGAAGCAGCTGTTCGTGCTGGGCGAGGTACTGGGCTGGGTTCTGCTTGGCTAGCCTTGCACAGTGCAGCAGCTCCCGCTGCAGCAGGGGCAGATTGGCCTGCAAGAGCGTTGCACACGTTAAGAGGGCGGCTTGCGGGCAGTTTCCAACTGAGATGAGGCAGACAAATCAGAAATCAAAGGGAAGCCTGCTCTGAGGTGAGCCTGTGGCAAGAATCCTCAGTTAGGTCTGCTGTGGTTAGCTGCCTGCAAGCAGGCAGCCTCCTTACGGGGTCAGGTCATGGCTGTGGTAAGCATGCATGGAAGGATGGGAGTTTACCGAAAATGCTGTGAGAAAGCCAGGTCTGAGTCCCACATCTTTAAAAAGGGGAAAAGCGCTGCCCTGGCCAACTCCATCCCCTTTCTTACTATCCAAAACCTGAGTTCCTATGGAGCAGCAGTTTTCAACAAGTGACAAACCTTCTTCAATACTTGTTTCCCATTCGGACTGCAGTTAGTACTTAGAAATCGTTGGAAACCATAGGATCTGTGGCTCTGTTAAGTTGCCACAGTCACCATCTTTCCAGGCCTCGGGGAGAACAGGACTGCCCTCAGCTTTCCCATTACACTTGCAGTTACACATTAAGATAAAGATTACAACAAAATCTCACATTCCAGAGCTTTAGTTAATCACCCAGAGGGCTACTGCCCTCCTCCTAGCCAGATGTAGCTTGAAGTATTTTTAACCTTCCTCTCAGGGTCCCACTGGGACTGGGGTCAGGGGCTGGAGAGTACCAGGACTCAGACACAGAGAATTGAAAATGCTCATTGATCCCTGGGTAGCACATTTTGCCCATCTACTGGTGTCATACTTAGTCATACTTCCTGCCAGATTTGGGACCAAGGTGGAACTGTATGTCCTTCCCCTCAGCAGAGATAGTTACACTGCCTGGGAGACATCTTCCTTTCTTTGCAGCACATGCATACATCGATGCTAAGACAGTCAAGTCATTTCTTACCTACTTATTTGTGCCATAAGGTGATATGCCCTGACCCCTCTTGTTCCATGCCTAGTGCACAATGACTTGTTGCCTGGGGATTTTCAAGCGTTGGATGAAATTTCATGACCTTTAGTAACTAGAGATAAGACAAAGAACTCCCTGTTGCTTTTGAAATAACTCCCGGGGCAGGGGGGTGGAAATAATCCTTTTTTTTTAAACAGGAAAATATTTCTTAAGTCAAAAAAGTTCTGAAACCATTGTGCACGGAACCAAGCACAAAAAGCAGATGTTCTACAAAGTTTTGAGCACAGGATCTTGGTAAATTACTTTGCTACCATTATAACAATGGCAAATGCTCCAGCACCTGTTGCTGCACCATAAGAGTAGATCCACTGTGCAAGAAAAAAATGCCAGAACAGAGTCAGAACATATGAACCTTTCAACAGCGAAAAAAAAAACAGCAATTGCTATCACTTATTCATCTCAGGATGGGAAGACAGCCAGTTGTGGAACATGAGGTCTTTTCAGACCTCCACAGAACACAAATATTTTGTGAAAGTACCAAAGAAATATCTTCTTTCAGTTATTCTCTCTCACATTTTTGTCCAGGGCTACCACATAACAGAGAGACATTTTAAATGCTTTTGTGAGCAGGGTTTTTTTACTTGTTTTAATTTCATTGTTATTTTTTAAAAGCTCACACAGAATCGAAGTCAAGACACCCAGCCACCTAAACTGCCTCATGTGGCAGAAAATGACTGGAGAAGTTTACATATATTGACAAATAACTATCTGGAGGAAATAATAGGATCAGACCTAGGATTTTAATAGTAGTGCATACTTGGAAGATGTATCATCACAACTTAGCACGCCTGTGAGGTAGAAATGTGAAGTCCCCATTTTGCAGTTGAGTAATCAAAGGAAAAACAACACATTTGGGTTCCTTATCCACTATCACAAACAAAAGAGACCTATTTCATACATGGTCACTCCTGGTTCCTAGAAACAACCAAATTTTGAATTGGCTAGAAAAACCTTAATTTTTTTTTACTTGTTTTCTGTTTCCTAAAGAAATGTTCATTCTTGCTCTTTAACCATAAACATGAAGATTTGCGGTTAAGGGTATCCTCTATTCTAAATGGATTGAACATGTTTTCTGTGCACAGAACAGACCCATACAACTTTTAACATATTTATTAAACATGGACCTGCTCAGTTTCTTCATTTTTTAGAAGTTATAGAAAACTGTGAATGACATGCCTCGTAATTTGGGCTTATAATGGCATCAAGCAACATTTGGACAAAGACTTAAACTCAAAGTGAAGAAAAGCAGTAGTTGAAAACACAAGTACTTTCAATCTGTGCAAGACTTTATTCTAAACAATCTTTATCAAACCATATAGTAAAAAATAATTGGTTTGTTGGAAAAGAAAGAATCGGGACCTCTCTATGGCTAGGTCAAGTGTACAGACTGCTTCTGGTCACCGTGGCCCCAATACACAAAAACTAGTTTTTGGGAAGCTGGATGCAGAACGAAGCACTGACATTCTCCCTAATGTGAGCAGGGAGAGATCAGGCTCCTAAGGCAACTCAAGCATACCCCTACGGACTGTGAAACCAAAATGGCCTTGGACACAAAGGCTTATGCAGAGGTTCAGCTCTGACAGCAGAGGCAGCTCTGTCAACGTGCAGTAGCACATTTCTCCCAGCTTCGCTGGTGGTGCCTGCAGACAGACTTCTACACCTCTACGTGCAAGAGACACACACCAGTTCTCAACCAGAAGCCAGATATATATGTTAGAAAAACACTGTCTGCAAACAAACATGTTATTACTGGCTTACAGTCCTCTAAAACTTCAGTGTCTGGACTATGCTCCCACTCTTGCTTTGGATTGGGCCTTATATCCTTCAAGATTTAGGTAGTGTCTTAGCCTCCTCCATCAGTTTCATAATCACAGATAGGAAGAGGAGAACATGTTTTTTACCCAGCTGTCAGACCTGTTTTCCACTTTGAAATGAACTGTTCTAACCAGAAAAGAAAACATTATCTCTGCACCTGCAAAAGAAGCTACAGCTCCAAAAGGATGAAACCATCATTTCAGTGCTCACTCCAGGTAATTAGTTAATAATTTTCTATTGTTGGATGTTCCTACTTTCTTTGAAACTTTAGCAACAGAAGTATTTCAGTATTATAATTTAAATTAAAAACGCTTCATTAGAACATAGTACAATTAGGCTTCGATGCAAGTTTTTATAATTGCAAGTTTAAATAAATTACTTAAAACTATATTTTAAAAAAATATTTACATTGAGACAAATTTTTGTTCAGAAAGCCTGAGTAACTCAAAACCACCAAATCATATATTGATGCTGATGCTTATAACAAATATGCACAGCACGTCTATTGAAAAACAGAGTGTTGGCGGTACTGAACACGTACACCATGTACCACTTAAATTTAACAGACTAAATCCTGCTTGATATTAATATAGAAAATGTGCACAAAAAGGCTCCCAGCCAATGAAGGTTTCTGCAGGTGAATGATCTTATCTTCCTCTGAACCAGAACTGGTAGAAAGATAAGCAATTCGATGACTATTTATTATCTGTAGTAGATCAGCGCTCCCTGGCGTGAGGCACCGAACAAACACATGGTGAAGAGTAGCTCCTTTCCCAGAATTTTTATTACGGAAGCACAAATATTGGCTTCCGACTGCAACGTAGTGTTTGGTAGGCCTAGCAATCTGTAGTGGATCTAGACCAGACAGGATATACAGCGTGCGAAAGGTTTCAAGAAGGCCTGACTGACTTGCCTATGATCAGGTAACCACCGATCGGAGGCAAAGCCGGGAGGTTTGGCTTCAGGACAAGTCTTTGGGGCAGAAGGGACCGCAGGGCCCAAGAATCTCTCTCTCATCATGGTAATGCTGCAGGGCACGGCTGAGATCCTAGCTCTGGTCCTGGGAAGCAATATTGCCATGTTAGCACAGTGTTGGAGGCAAAAAAGCGTCTTAGCTAAATTCGGTCCAGATTGCTTTGGTCTACAATAAATACGTATATAAAAATCACATATATTTGCCGGGTGCTCCGGCAAGAAGTACAGAAAGCCTTCCATCTGGTCCCTGCTCAGCAGACAGCTTGTTTTTTTTCCTGCCACAGAGTCAGTAGGCAGTTTGGCTGTGGGAATACATGTCCTTAAAAATACTGAAGTACCCAACTATTGCCTTTGAGCGTTCAGCCATGTATGAGCACGTCTCCTTCAGCCCTCTTGTCACCAGACAACCGCTATTTATCGGGAGGTGCAAAACCAGAGAATCTTCTCAGTTCGCGTCTACCCGTACTCACTAAGCTGAACAGGCTGAAAACCAGCA